CTGCCTAGATACAGCAATAATGACCCGGCGTTCTATTCGGCCAAAGACGGTAGCAAGCAATTCAAGGGGTATCGTCTCCCTTCTCCAAAGAGCGGAGATGGTCACGCGAACCGGAAAACAAACGAAAAAAAAAGGGGGAAAAAATAAAAAAACTTAAAAAAAGCCGACGAATCACTGTGGCAAAAGAGAAAAATAAACAAATAAACTTTTCCATTACAAAAAAAACAAAATTCAAAACTTTTCCAAATTCTCATTGAAAATAAGGCCGCAGGGAAAACACACACAAAAAAAAAAAAAAAAGTAAAAAAGTGAAGTGCTAAACACCTCGTTCTCTTTGTTAATCGCTTTCTCCGCTAAGACAGGGCAAAGCCAAGCGCTAGAACGAGAAAGAGAGCTGAAAACAGATGACGAGAGGGTGAAGAGACATACACACAGAGAGAGAAAGAGAGAAAGACAAAGAGAGAGAGAGAGAGAGAGAGAGAGAGAACAGATGAGGAGAGGGTGAAGAGACATACACAGAGAGAGAGAAAGAGAGAGAGAAAGAGAGAAAGACAAGAGNGAGAGAGAGAACAGATGAGGAGAGGGTGAAGAGACATACACAGAGAGAGAGAAAGAGAGAGAGAAAGAGAGAAAGACAAGAGATAAAGAGAGACACAGAGAGAGAGAGAAAGAGAACACAGAGAGATATAAAGAGAGAAAAAGAGAGAGGGAGACGCCAAATTGGCGAAGGTAGCAAGGGGGGCTGACAACAAATTGGCAATTCCAGGGAAAAAGAGAGATGTAGGAGACGAAAGAGCGACGAGGCTCATATATCGATATCTCCATTATTACGTTCTGAGCTGAAAATAATGGAATATTAATACAAATTTATATTAAAAAACGAAGAATAAACTGTCTCTAATTCGGCACCGGGTCAAATAGAGTAGATAGAAGACTGCGACTTGGGTCGAAAACAAATTTCCGTCAACTTCCACCGACTAAAGTAGGGAGAAAATATTCTCGAGAAATCCCGACTACCCGATGATTCCATAAGCCACCACCACGACCACCACCACCTGCCTCTCATCGCTCTCCACTTCTTTCGCCTTTTTTTCGTCTTTCGAGTCCCCTTTCTCTTCTCGTTCTCCTCCTCCCTTCAAGTGCTGTCAGCATTCCCCCACACCCTCCCCCATCCTCC